ATTTTGTACCATTTCAGGCCAGGCAGTACACTGCAGCTTTTGATACTTGAGCTGATATATGTGTATATTAGGAAGGGTGTTTATGGGTTTTCTGCCTATAAACTGCCCCTCAGCAAGAGGAGGGGTCTGACTGCTAACGCTGTAGAGAAGCACAGTTGGGTTAGGAAAAGTTCCTTTTACAGGCTTGGGTGGGTGGGTAGACACCCAACCCCTTTGCTGTGCTCCATCCATCCCTAGGCCTTCCACCACCCCTGTGAAGCTAGCAGAGAGGAAGAGAAGGCCGTTGTATCCTTACTACTGCAGGCAAGCATACCGTCAGACTAGCATCTGAAAGCCTCAGGTTCAAATCCCCCCACTCTGCCATAAAAGCTTGCTGGGTGACCTCGGGCCAGTCACACACTCTCAGGCAATGCTCCCTCTAAGCTGTGGAGTCTTGTGAGCAAAAATTCTACTTTGTGAGCTCCTGCCATTAAAGCTGTGAGCGAGTGATTTGGCTACTGCATCAACTAGTTTGCTCTGGAGCCCTCCTTCCTAAACTGAGACAAAAATCTGTGAGCTGGAGGCTAAAAAACTGTGAGCTAGCTCACACTAACTCAGCTTAGAGGGAACACTGCTCTCAGCCTAACCTGCCCCACAGGGCTGCTGTGATGATGAAATGACGGAGGGGAGAACACTGCTGTAAGCCCACTGGGGAGAAAAGTAGGGTATAAATGAACTTCTTTCTGGACAAGAAGAGAAGGCAGACAGTGGAGGTCAGTGAAAGCCCCTGATTCAGGCCTGTAGCGACAGTGGGGCATCTAGGGGCAGTGCCCCCTCACGCATGGCCCACGCCCCACAACTCCTGCTGCCCTTGCCTGTGCCCTTACCTGCCGTCTGGACTTGTTTGCTTTGGCCACTACAGGAGAAGGAGAGCCGACCGGTGCAACAAGTACTTGGCGAGTATGCACTCTCTGCTGCTCTCCTTCTCCTGTGTAAAGACGATAGCTGGACCTTGTCCCCTCTCCCCACACTGCAAGAGAGAGACTGAGTGATGGGAAGGAGGACAGCCACAGAAGGGCCCAGAGACAGACAGGGTTTTGGCTTACCCATTCTCCCTTGAAAGCAAAGGCAACCCGACAGCATGGCTCCACGGGTCCACAGAGCAACCCTGGGGATTTAGTACCGCTAGGTGTCCCCCTGCAGGGCAGGGCTGCCAGTCGGCTCAAATCATGGTGGCCACATGGGAGGGCCAGCTGTGGGCCTCGAACACCCTCCAGCGCTCACATGGAGAGGGGCGGTATGAGTGAACCGGCTCCAACAGTTACAACAATCCACATAATACCGTATATTATTTATCTCTATTTGCTCCTTTTATAATCCACCTTTCCCGCTGAGACTCAAGGTGGATTACAAAGTTTTTTTAAAAAAAGTTCAGCTAGAGCGCAGGATCTCCAGCAAACGACGCCGTTAAGACTGGTGGGGGGGAAGTACCGTCAGGTCGCAGCTGGCATATGGTGACTCCATAGGGATTTCAAGGCAAGAGATGAACAGAAGTGGTTTGCCATTGCCTGCCTCTGCATAGCAACCCTGGGCTTCCTTGGTGGCCTCCCATTCAAATAGCAACTAGGGCCAACCCTGCTTAGCTTCCAAGATCTGACGAGATCAGGCTAGTGTGGACCATCCAAGTCAGGGCACAGTAGGACCAAATTATGACAAAGGTTGAATACAGTGCATAAAAGGAAGGCGATCCATGTATCCAATACATACAATAAACATTGCAATAGAATGGTATTTCCACCCCTTTTCCTACTTGTGGAGTACAGCTTGGGAAAGGAGGAAGATGTAGTTGGGACACCAAGACCTCCACTCTTCTGCTCCAAATCGTCCCTTCTGACAGCTTGACAAAAAAAAGAATTTGTAACATGCATTTGAGCCTCCATTAGGATGAAGCAATAACAGCGTGCAAGCTTCTGAATTCTCAGGAAGTCTCCTTCAGGCTCAATGTTACAGATAAATAAAGACATAAAGTAGGAAAACAAATTAAGTTTCAAGATATGGAAGAAAATAAACCAAGACTTTCCACCATGCCCTGAAGTTTCTTCCTTTTCCTTTTCTCTTTTTGTAACATCCAGCCTCATGGGGGGGGGGGGAGATTGGTGTAGTGGTTAAGAGCGGTGGACTCCAATCTGGAGAACCAGGTTCGGTTCCCCACTCCTCCACTTGAAGCCAGCTGGGTCAGTCACAGTTCTCTCAGCCCCAATCTTTGGATCTCCTGGCTATACTACACCCACTGCCATATGATGATGATATACCCGGCAGAAAGGGAAGGGAGGAATGTTATAAAGAGAGGCCAGTTCAAAACAAGACCCAGTCCAAAGAATAATCAGTTCACTCAGCATGGGTGTGACAAGAGTGTGTTGCTAGTTAGGCAGAATGTCAGATCTGGTGAAGTGCGATAAGCCGATGCAACAGGAAGATACAGAAGTCTAGCTGAAGTAATTCACATCTGTCCAATCTGTCCGGGTGTGAAATGCAAGGCATTAGCACCTAAGTACAATGGCAAGAGAAGAATTGGTTGAGATTCTGTGTTAAACTACTCCATGAATGTGATTTCATCCATTTCCCTTTGAAGTTCTTCTGTAGGAGAAAAAGTAAATAAGGCTTGAAGCATTGCAGCTTTAGTAGCTTTTTTTTTTTTACAGTTTTGCCATATGACTTTGACGGCTGCCTCCAGCAGGTTGCTGGAAAGGCAGTGTGTATGGTTTTCTAAAACAAAATGAACTGTCATAGTCTGCTGGATTAAGCAAAAGGGAGGGGAGCTCTGTTTCTAGCCTCACCCACTGATTTTATAAGCCCAAGATTAAAGAATCATCAAACCTAAAAGCAACCTTTACCAGGAAGCTACCTTAAAATTGATGGCCGAAGGGAACTGTTTCGGTAAAGAAGCTGGCTGAGAAAGGCTACTACCTCTTCCCTGGGAGTGAGCCCCACTGAATCAACCTAAGTAGGATTCTCAGTAGATCTGCTTAGGATTGCTCTCTAGGGGCCAACACCAACACAACCAAACTTCAGGTGGGGTTGCCGAGTTGGTCTGAAGCAGCAGAACAAAGTTGGGAGTCCAGTGGCACCTTTAAGACCAACAAAGTTTTATTCAAAGTATTTGTGCTGATACAAGAAAGCTTATACTTTGAATAAAACTTCGTTGGTCTTAAAGGCACCACTGGACTCAAACTTAGTTCTACAACCCAATCACTGAAAACTTCCATCACTCTGTTAAAAAAAATACGTGCGCACACTTACCACAATTTGGATTGGGGCCCAACTGCAAGGTGATTCAACATCCCCCTCCAGTTTTGCTATTCAGAACCAGATTCCTGTTTCCATGTCTTAAAAGAAAGGTTTTTAAAGAATGCATCTTTTCCATTTTAAAAAAATATGATAGTGCCCTTTTCTGATTGTTTGTTGAGAATCTTGATGCTGGGGATGGCACTGCCTGGGCATCTTCTTGCTTTCCACTTGCTCAACCTACATATCTGTAAATTAACCGATACCCAAGGACTACCAGATCAAAGTCCGAGTCCCCTGGCACCTTTAAGACCAGCAAAGTTCTATTCAAGGTCTAAGCTTTCCTGTGCACCATAACTCTCCAGTATCCTCCCAAGGAAACTGGATCCTGTGAGGAGGGTTGTGGAACGTCCTGCTCTTCCAGAAGGGTGACACAAAAAAGCGGAAAAGGAAACCAGGGATGAGAAAGAAAATGAAAGGTCCTCCCACGTTATAGACAGAACAACACTCTGGTTTAGATTGCATCCTGACTGGTTTATCTTTGCTCCACATTGCTTACTCCTAAACCAGTTTGGTGTAGTGGTTAAGAGCACGGACTCTAATCTGGGAGAACCGGGTTTCATTCCCCACTCTTCCACATGCAGCTGCTGGTGTGACCTTGGGTCAGTAACAAGTTCTTTCAGAGCTGTTCTCTCAAGGGCAGTTCTTGAGGGAGCTCTTTCAGCCCCACCTACCTCACAAGGTGTCTGTTGTGGGGAGGGGAAAGGAGATTGTAAACCACTCTGAGACTCCTTCGGGTAGTGAAAGGTGGTGTACAAATCCAGTCTCTTCTTCTAATCCTCCTCTTATACAGATGCTTCCCCCCCTACAATTGTGATTTGAGGTTTTCACTGGTCAATTTCTTTTGGGGAAAACTTGAAGCACCTTCCTCAAAGCCCCCGAAGGCACAGACAGCTCCATGAAGAACAACCGACGGCATCCCCATAAGGTTTTCACGCCAAGACACATTCAGGGGTGGTTTCCCATTTCCTGGCTCTGCATAGCGACTCTCGATTTCTTTGGTGGTCTCCCATCCAAACACTAACCAGGGCCAACCCTGCAGCGACACAAGTCAAGGCACTGGAATCCTGCACTGCATAACCCCAGACCACGGCGAGCTTGTGTGTGTCTCGCATTTCTGCAAAGTCCACTGCACTTCACGAGGCTCCCCGCATGCAGAAAGCTAGTTGGTGTCGGCAAAACCGCCACCGTCAAACAACAATTAGGAAATTAGATAAGCATATGGAGCAGAGGTCCATCAGTGGCTATTAGCCGCATGGTATAGATAGGGGCTCTGGGGCAAGTGATGCTCTGTCTTCTTGGTGCTTGGGGGGGGGCAACAGTGGGTGGGCTTCTGAGGTCCTGGCCCCACTGGTGGACCTCCTGATGGCACCTGGTATTTCTGGCCACTGTGTGACACAGAGTGTTGGACTGGATGGGCCTTTGGCCTGATCCAACATTGGCGTCTCTTATGTTCTTAAGGAGGCTCCTAGGCAGGCCTGGGAAGCCAGAGGAGGGTAATGGGTTGTGTGAACGGGGGCAGAGTGGGAAGGAAAGCGGGCTTCCTTTGGGGGTCGCCCCGTGACATAGCCGGCAGGAGGAGGAGGCGGCGCCAAGCGGCAGCAGACGGCGGGAGAAGGAGGAGCCCCAGCCTGACATCACAATTCCCCTCCCCTCTCTCCCCCGGTTGGCCGGGCGGCAGCGCCTCGGAGCGCTCGGCGGCTCCAGTCGTCGCCCAGCCCGTGCGTGCCGGAGCGCCCCGGCGAGGATGCGCCCTCCTCTCGCCCCGGTGCCCGGCCCGGCGCTCTGAGCTCGCCCCCCCCCCCGCGGGACCATGAAGGAGCTGCCGGGCGCCTCGCTGCAGAAGGCGTGCCGCCTCCTCGTGGTCTTCTGCGTCCTCCACCTCTCGGCCGTGCTCTTCTACTACCTGGCCGGCAGCAGCACGCGGAGCCTCCAGGGGAACCCGGAGCCCTCGCCCCGCGGCCTGGCGCCCCCGCGGCGGGAGACGACGCCGACCCTGCGCCCGGCCAACGTCTCCAGGCAGTGCCCGGACCCCTCCCCGCGGCTGGGTAAGCGCCTGACTCCCCGGCCGGCCGGCCGCTGCGCCCCGGGTGCCTTTCTCAGGATCTGCCTGCCTTCGGCGGCCCCGAGCCCCCCGCAGCAGGCGCGCCCTTCTGTGCCGTCGCCGGTGGGGGTGTGTGTGTGGATCTGGGCGCCTC